CTTTTCCCTCTTTTAAACCGCTGCTAGTATCAGGTAAACGCTGGAACAAGCCATTCTTCTCTAGGTCGTTGACTTCCTGTGATTCAAAAACAAGTCTTCCATGTTGAATTCCATTAAAAGCAATTTCTCCTAGCCTGCTAAACACCCTGGTCACAGCTTCAGGCAATTCCTTAAATGGTTTAAGGTAAAAGTCTCTACCTTTGTCTTTATGGTGGCGGCATCGGTCATCGTCATAACAAAAGTAAAGGATCTTGATGGCAACAGAGTATATTTCTGTTAGCTTTGTGGGGAGGCAGCCAAGGTGGTCAGCAGAGTTGTCAATGAGCAACTTCAGCAAGCACGAGCAAATGATGAAACAATTCACGGGAATGTAGCAAAAGGATAGGAGGTTGAGGTTACTTCTGATGTGCTCCTTTATAGTTTTTGCTTTGTCCCCGCCGCTTGTGAACTTTTCCACATACTCTTCCACTTGCTGTGGTGTAAATCCCAGTATTTCAACCGCTTTGTGAAAGCAAAGACTTCCAAAACATGACACGGCAGTGGGTCTTGTAGTCGTTAACACTGTGGCACCAGCTAGAATTTTCCCAGATAAGATCTTCTTGAGCAGGGAATGAAGAGGCATCCTGTCTTCTTCCCGGTTTCTGTACAAAGTGTCATCATTATCAATTTCAGTCCTGCCAGAATATTCGTCAAACCCATCAAAAATTACAAGAACTTTATTTGGGTTTTGACGAATGTACTTCCAGATTTCATCCAGCTCATCGGATAGAGGTGTTGAATACTCTGAATACTTCAGTAGTTCGCGAAGATTGAGTTCTTGATCAGCTATGCGGTTCAACATCCTCAGCTTGACGAGAAATGCGACTTGGAAATCTAATTGTGCGTTTTGTCCTCCGGTGAACAAGTTATCGCAGGCCCAATCGCGAAGAATCTTCGTACAAAACAAAGTTTTGCCAGTTCCAGGATGACCGACAACAAGAATGTTTTGCTTTTCAGCATCAAAAACATCTGCTGGCCTTTTTGGTTCTAGGTTTGCGTTGGCTCTGAGGTATTTTTTCAGCTGTTCCTCTCTGTCTCCAGTCAATTGATCTAAATAAGCCCTGCCCTCGTGAATAATCAAATTGGTGTAGATTTGGTCAAGCGTTAGATTTGTTCCAAGGCCTTCACCAGGATTACGATGAAAAGGTGATTTAAGATCACCCAAAGGTCGATCGGTGACTGTTCGGATATAGTTTTTCATTCGTTCTTGGAACGTGCCGACTGATGTTTGCGCGTTTCTGCTAGTGCCGTTGGAGGACGGTGGTGCGTTGCTCGATGCAGCGGTTGATGGTTGCTCGGTTTGATTGACATCACCCTGGGAGACTACCTCAGTTAACTCTTGTTGTTGCGGTTCTTTTGAAGAGGCATTTGAATTCGATTTCAGGTAATGTTTATAAAATTGCTGGTCCTCCATGAACCCTTCTCTCCTTCTTGCACGCCACAGGATACAGAGAACTTCGATAAATACAAGAAGCGCAAAAGTTCCAGTTACTACGATCACGGCATAAGACCAGAAGGTTTTCTTAGCTGCTCGCTGATTATGACACTCGGTCGCAGTGACTGTAGTGTTAGTAAAATTGCCCTTTTTGGCTAAATTACAGTTAAAGTTCGAGGGAAAGCCACGAGGATAGAGTAGGTTGGTCTGCAGGAGGACAAAAATAATCCCAAGAAGAAATCTAGCAACAAGCTGTGAGCAGTACGCCGTGAAAAGCTTTTTCCTGGTTCGGTTCCCGATTCCCAGTTGAGTCTGCTTTTCTTCATCCTTAAAATTGGCTTCAAGTTCACAAACTCTCGCCTTCACCGCTTGTGAGTAAACTACACAAACACTTGAAGTAAGAAAGAAGTTTAGGATCACGAAACCATACACGGGAATACCGAATTTATGATACTGTTTTTCGTACTGTTCGTAGCACTTTCCACGAATAAGTTCCTTGTCACCATCTGAGCCACAGCGAAAATCAAATCTCGATTCGCTGGTTTCCGCGTCGAGGAAGATCGCTGATAGAGTTACTCCGAGCAAAATCCAGCAAATATTTACAACAAAGCTGAACCGGTTAAATGTTTTAGGAGCAACGAATTCTTTAAGACTATCCATGTTTATCGGATTGTGAGTCTCAATGGTATGATTCATGTGCAATGACCTTAAATAAGGGAGCATTGGGAATTTCGGTTTTGCGTGTTCTGACGC